TCGCCAGTCAGAAATACACGACGAATTTCCCTTGAGGAGAACACGCGGAAAGCAATAAGGCAATACTTTCTTGCTGGCGTCATGTTTGACTACAGATCGGATATCATCAGGGCTACAATGATGACTACACCACCTCATTAGCATATGCATACCATGCAGAGGTGAGTGCCCAGTATGTACATATGTGTTTGCAACCAAGGCAGTTGTAATAAGTGAGTCAGTGTGAGTGAGTGAATATAGGTTTACGCCGCCTTCACCCTTCATGCACAACTTTTTGTCCACCCTGTATACTTTCTGATCTCATTCAACCCTTCACGCACACAATCCTGACCACCTTACATACTTCCTGATCTCATGCTAGCCTTCACGCACACCTTCCTGCCCACCTTACATACTTCCTGATTTCATTCCACCCTTCACGCACACCTTCCTGCCCACCTTACATACTTCCTGATCTCATTCCACCCTTCACGCACACCTTCCTGCCCACCTTACATACTTCCTGATTTCATTCCACCCTTCACGCACACCTTCCTGCCCACCTTACATACTTCCTGATCTCATTCCACCCTTCACGTAACACACCTTCCTGCCCACCTTACATACTTCCTGATCTCATTCCACCCTTCACGCACACCTACCTCCATCTTCTTACCATCGCCCACCTTACATACAATCTCCTGATCTCATTCCACCTATTCACCCTTCACGCACACCTTCCTGCACATACCTCTTATCTTTATTCCAACACCCACCTTCCTGCCCACCATACTTCCTGATCTCATCCCCATTCCACCCTTCACCACCTTCCTGCCCACCTTTACATACTTCCTGACCTTTCATTCCATCCTTCACGCACCATTCCTGCTACATACCTCCTGCTCCACCTTACATACCTTCCTGATCTCATTCCACCCTTCACGCACACCTTCCACCCCACCTTTACATACTTCCTGATCTCATCATTCCACCTTTTCACGCACACCTTACTTTCCACCTATTCCACCTACATACCTTCTTCCTGATCTCATTCCACCTTCACGCACACCTTCTTGCCCACCTTACATACTTCCTGATCTCATTCCACACTTCACGCACACCTTCCTGCCCACCTTACATACTTCCCCTGATCTGATCACGCACACCATCTTGGCCCACCTTACATACTTCCATCTCATTCCACCCTTCACGCAAACATCTTCCTGTCCACCTTACATACTTCCTGATCTCATTCCACCCTTCACGCACACATCTTCCTGGCCACCTTACATACTTCCTGATCTCATTCCACCCTTTCACATCTTCTTCTTCACGCACACCTTCCTGCCCACCTTACATACTTCCTGATCTCTCATTCCACCCTTCACGCACACCATCTCATTCCGCCCTTCACCTTCCTGATCTCATTCCACCCTTCACCCACACCTTCCTGCCCACCTTACATACTTCCTGATCTCATTCCACCCTTCACGCACACCTTCCTGCCCACCTTACATACTTCCTGATCTCATTCCACCCTTCACGCAACACCTTCCTGCCCACCTTACATACTTCCTGATCTCATTCCACCCTTCACGCACACATCTTCCTGGCCACCTTACATACTTCCTGATCTCATTCCACCCTTCACGCACACATCTTCCTGGCCACCTTACATACTTCCTGATCTCATTCCACCCTTCACGCACACCTTCCTGCCCACCTTACATACTTCCTGATCTCATTCCACCCTTCACGCACACCTTCTTGCCCACCTTACATACTTCCTGATCTCATTCCACCCTTCGCGCACACCTTCCTGCCCACCTTACATACTTCCTGATCTCATTCCACCCTTCACGCACACCTTCTTGCCCACCTTACATACTTCCTGATCTCATTCCACCCTTCACGCACACCTTCCTGCCCACCTTACATACTTCCTGATCTCATTCCACCCTTCACGCACACCTTCCTGCCCACCTTACATACTTCCTGATCTCATTCCACCCTTCACGCACACACCTTCTTGGCCACCTTACATACTTCCTGATCTCATTCCACCCTTCACGCACACCTTCCTGCCCACCTTACATACTTCCTGATCTCATTCCACCCTTCACGCACACCTTCCTGCCCACCTTACATACTTCCTGATCTCATTCCACCCTTCACGCACACCTTCCTGCCCACCTTTACATACTTCTGATCTCATTCCACCCTTCACAAACACCTTCCTGCCCACCTTTACATACTTTCCTGATCTCATTCCACCCTTCACGCACACCTTCCTGCCCACCTTACATATTCTTCCTGATCTCATTCCATTCTTCACGCGCAAACATCTTCTCCTGTGCCCCTTTACATACTTCCTGATCTCATTCCACCCTTCACGCACACCTTCCACTTTCATTCCACCTTACATACTTCCTGATCTCATTCCACCCTTCACGCACACATCTTCCTGCCACCTTACATACTTCCTGATCTCATTCCACCCCTTCACGCACACCTCTTCCTGCCACCTTACATACTTTCCTGATCTCATTCCACCCACTTCACAAACATCTTCCTGTCCACCTTACATATTTCCTGATCTCATTCCACCCTTCACGCACACATCTTCTTGGCCACCTTACATACTTCCTTATCTCATTCCACCCTTCACGCAAACATCTTCCTGTCCACCTTTACATACTTCCTGATCTCATTCCACCTTATTTACATTTTTGTCTACCCATTTCTCCGCTTCTCCTCAACCCTGCCTTTCTATTCAGTTTCCCCTTATCTCAATTGCAGCTCCTTCTTTCTAATCCCCTGTCTACCTTTACCTATATATTTCTATACACGTCTCCCTTTTCAATCCGTCTTCCTACCTCTATCTCTTTTCTTGTCTCTCCCTGTCTGCCAATTTTTCTCCCTTTCTCAAAGCTACCGTCTACCCAGTAATCCTCTTATCTCTGGCTACTCTATGCCTTCTACACATCAATCAGCCTTTCTACCATCTACCCTTCTTGCTAGGTAAGTCCTGGGACAAAATGCTGTGGCATGGGTTAAGTTAAGAGTTAAGATTAAATCTAAATAAGCACAGTCGTTATTACGCTTTGAACCAAAGCAACAACGACCATTGACCGTAATAATCCCCTGAAGCTGTAACAAAAGCATGGCTTGTGCAGAGCAGCTGCGTTTAGGGATAAATGTGTGTCTCTGTGTTATCGCAGGATAGTTCCTAACTTTTGAGCTTGAATTTATCAGATGTAATGATAAATGATATCTTACCTTTTATACTTTGAACAGGACAAATCAACACGTAAAATAAACACACATTCCCTGAGACCGATTTAGCCATTATCCACCACAAGGTGACAACAGCTGTCTGTTTGCATGTGAACTCAGGTGGAGTCAACCGCTAGGACAGTGTTGAATGGAACAGGCTGGGCTCTTCACAGGTTCCTTAATCACAGCCATACCTTATCTGCTTCCCATTCAAACGATATAGAGTGACGGGTCTTTCCAACCGTTGGTTTGTGAGTAGTTGGAGGTGGTGGAGGCTGGACCATGAAGGCTCAGGACTCCAGGGCACCGTATTTACTCAATAAACAAACTCATCAGTTATAACAATGTGTCAAGATATATTTGATACAGAATGTTTAGTCCTTGACCATGACAGTAATTACGTATTAGGGCCACAGTGTGAAAAATATCATCCCGTAGAGAGATGCGTAGCTGTATGTGTGCGTGTGTATGTGCGATGCGTGCATGCATGCATGCGTCTATTCATTCACAATGGGAACTTCAGAGTATCAGCGATAATTTTTTAAAAGAAATAACAACTCCACGATGAATTTATTTAATAAAACAACAAATCCGGTCATTATCAATTTACCAGGGTTTACATAAAACAGAACGGGAATATGTGTCGATTGCAGGAGGAAACGATGGATCACAAGACCGATAATTTAAAGAAGCTAGATGATACTTTTACATTAAAGTGGGTTAAAAATATTATGCACGTAAATGTAAGTGCGGTATTAATCTTCTTCCTCAAGTAGAAAAGCATTGTCCAACGCAGGAGAAGGTAAATATAGAACAGAATTTCAACAATAAGCAATCATGATCAAAGGAAAAAAGTCAAAGGTATTCTTGGCAAATATCCCCACTCCATGCCCCTAGCCCCCACCTCAAAACTTGACTCAGTCCTCACTTGGGTCCTTAAACATTACTGCAATCACTTGTGTGTATGTATATTTGTCTCCCTTCTCTCCTCTTTTCAATCATCTATTTACCTATTTACATTTTTGTCTACCCATTTTCTCCTTTCTCCTCAACTACCTTTCTATTCAGTTTCCCCTTATCTCAGTACGCTCCGCCTTTCTAATCCCTGTCTACCTTTACCTATATATTTCTATACACGTCTCCCTTTTCAATCACCTTCCTACCTCTATCTCTTTTCTTGTCTCTCCCTGTCTACCAATTTTCTCCTTTCTCCAAGCTACCGTCTACCCAGTAATCCTCTTATCTCTGTACTCTATGCCCCTTCTACCATCCCGTCAACCTTTCTACCATCTACCCTTCTTGCTAGGTAAGTCCTGAGACAAATGCTGTGGCATAAGGTTAAGTTAAGAGTTAAGATTAAATCTAAATAAGCACAGTATCGTTAATACGCTTTGAACCAAAACAACAACGACCATTGACCGTAATAATCCCCACAAGCTGTAACAAGCATGACTTGTGCGAAACGGCTGCGTTTAGGGATAAATGTGTGTCTCTGTGTTATCGCAGGATAGTTCTAACTTTTGAAGCTTGAATTTATCAGATGTAATGATAAATGATATCTTACCTTTTATACTTTGAACGAGACAAATCAACACGTAAATAAACACACATTCCCTGAGAACGTTGGCCATTATCACACGGGTGACAACAGCTGTCTGTTTGCATGTGAGCTCAGGTGAGTCAACCGCTAGGACGTGTTGAAGCGGAGCGGCTGGGCTCTTCACGGAGTTCACTTAATCACACACCCATACCTTATCTCTTCCCATTCAAACGATAGAGTGACGGAGTCTTTCAACCGTTGGTTTGTGATGAGTTGGAGGTGGTTGGCTGGACCGCGGGGCTCCAGGACTCCAGGGCACCGTATTTACTCCAATAAACAAACTCATCAGTTATAACAATGTGTCAAAGATATATTTGATACAGAATATTTAGTCACATGACAGTAATTACGTATTAGGGCCACAGTGTGAAAAATATCATCCCCGTAGAAGATGCATGTATGTGTGCGTGTATGTGCGTGCGTGCATGCATGCGTGTATGTATGCATTCACAATAGAACTTCAGAGTATCAGCGATAATTTTTAAAAGAAATAACAACTCACGTCAATTTATTTAATAAAACAACAAATCGGTCATTATCAATTACACCAGAGTTTACATAAAACAGAACGGGAACTTGTGTCGATTACAGGAGAAACGATGGATCACAAGACGATAATTCAAAGCTAGATGATACTTTACATTAAGTAGGTTAAAATATTATGCACGTAAATGTAAATACGTGTATCTTCTTCCTCAATGAAAACATTGTCAACGCAGAGGAAGGTAAATATAGGTAAATTTCAACAATAAGCAATCATGATCAAGGAAAAAAAGTCAAAATTATTCTTGGCAAATATCCCCACTCCATACCCCTAGCCCCACCTCAAAGCTTGACTCAGTCCTCACCCGGGTCATAAACATGCAATCACTTGTGTGTATGTACGTGCATCAAGGCACTGGGGTAAAGCGTATTATTTGTGAGACAAGTTGACCGCGAAATTGGGCGTGATGATCAATGGGTTCCAATATTAAATACGTACCATTTGACACACACACGTGCCGTTATGGGTTGTTATTGGTGGAATCTGCAAGAGATCCAAATGAGAAGTAAATGAGAAATATATACACATGAAATATCACAGACAAATGTGATTTGTTCTTAGTAATGCATTTAGACACATTGTTGTATACATAAGTACATATTGGTGCTGTACTGGTGCTGGTAGTATATGTCGACCTAGACACATTGTTGTATACATACGTACATATTGGTGCTGGTAGTATATGTCGACCTAGACACATTGTTGTATACATACGTACATATTGGTGCTGGTAGTATATGTCGACCTAGACACATTGTTGTATACATACGTACATATTGGTGCTGGTAGTATATGACGACCTAGACACATTGTTGTATACATACGTACATATTGGTGCTGTAGTGACGAGTATATGACGACCTAGACACATTGTTGTATACATACGTACATATTGGTGCTGGTAGTATATGACGACCCTAGACACATTGTTGTATACATAAGTACATATTGGTGGTGCTTGTAGTATATGACGACCTAGACACATTGTTGTATACATAAGTACATACTGGTGCTGGTAGTATATGTCGACCTAGACACATTGTTGTATACATAAGTACATATTGGTGCTTGTAGTATATGTCGACCTAGACACATTGTTGTATACATAAGTACATATTGGTGCTTGTAGTATATGTCGACCTAGACACATTGTTGTATACATAAGTACATATTGGTGCTGGTAGTATATGTCGACCTAGACACATTGTTGTATACATAAGTACATATTGGTGCTGGTAGTATATGTCGACCTAGACACATTGTTGTATACATAAGTACATATTGGTGCTTGTAGTATATGTCGACCTAGACACATTGTTGTATACATAAGTACATATTGGTGCTGGTAGTATATGTCGACCTAGACACATTGTTGTATACATACGTACATATTGGTGCTGTACTGGTGCTGGTAGTATATGTCGACCTAGACACATTGTTGTATACATAAGTACATATTGGTGCTTGTAGTATATGTCGACCTAGACACATTGTTGTATACATAAGTACATATTGGTGCTGGTAGTATATGTCGACCTAGACACATTGTTGTATACATAAGTACATATTGGTGCTGGTAGTATATGTCGACCTAGACACATTGTTGTATACATAAGTACATATTGGTGCTGGTAGTATATATGTCGACCTAGACACATTGTTGTATACATAAGTACATATTGGTGCTGGTAGTATATGTCGACCTAGACACATTGTTGTATATATAAGTACATATTGGTGCTGGTAGTATATGTCGACCTAGACACATTGTTGTATACATAAGTACATATTGGTGCTGGTAGTATATGTCGACCTAGACACATTGTTGTATACATAAGTACATATTGGTGCTGTATATGTCGACTGACACATTGTTGTGCTGGTAGTATATGTCGACCGACCTAGACACATTGTTGTATACATACGTACATATTGGTGCTGTACTGGTGCTGGTAGTATATGTCGACCTAGACACATTGTTGTATACATAAGTACATATTGGTGCTTGTAGTATATGTCGACCTAAACACATTGTTGTATACATACGTACATATTGGTGCTGGTAGTATATGTCGACCTAGAAACATTGTTGTATACATAAGTACATATTGCAAATAGTAATATATGTCGACCTAGACACTTTGTTATACACACAATATAGCGGTGGGTAGCTTACGCAGGCAAAACAAGCATTATACATCCAATCATATCTAACAGTGCTGGTCGTTATGCACACATAATTACAAGTCTGAGCATATGGATTTAATTCACACAATCCTATTTGTTTGTGAAAGTGGTTCGCCGATACTGAAACCTGGGTCAAGTATTCCAAAGCGAAACTTGCACGACACCCGACAATGGCTGTAAAATGAAGATTCAAAATATGTATGTAACCGCTGCTTTCAATTGGAAATGAACACAACAAAACATGCTAGCACCATGTATGTCCTTCGGTGTAGTGGGGACAGTTTCACCGACTGTCGTTCCTGCAATTGTTCCTGCAACTAAGCTCGTCCAAAGCCCGCTTCGATTTGTCGACTCACACCCGACAAACCTGTTCTCATACTTCCTGGTTGTGCCGGGCGTGATCATAGCTGGACAGACATGGGCTGTATTGGAAATCTCCGAGAGGCGCGTCCTGTACAATCACAATGATTGAAGGTTAGTTTGTACATTCATTTATCTGTGCTCACAAAGGCGTTTTCTGGCGAGAGAGTGAATAGCTTGGGTTTGAGGCTGAGTTGTGCCGGCAAAAGAATAATCTGCAATCACCATATTATTTACCTGCCGATATTTTGCCAAGACGTTGACTTGTTCAATGCACGATATTTCTTGCGATACATGGAAGAAAATACGTTGCACGTTAAATTGATGACGATACGATGTGTTTCATGGTACATATGGGGACACAGTGTGTATCATGGTACATACTGGGGATACTATGTGTATCATGCTACATATTGGGATACAAAGTGTATCATGGTACATATTGGGGATACTATGTGTATCATGCTACATATTGGGATACAAAGTGTATCATGGTACATATTAGGGATGCAGTGTGTATCATGGTATATATTGGGGAAACAATATGTATCGTGGTACATATTTGGGATACAAAGTGTAGCATTGTACATATTGGGATGCAAAGTGTATCATGTTACATATTGGGGATACAATCATGTGTATCACGATGCATATTGATGATACAATGTGTAGCATGGTACATATTGAGGGATACAATGTGTATCATGGTACATATTGGGGATACAATGTGTATCATGGTACATATTGGGGATACAAAGTGTATCATGGTACATATTGGGATACAATGTATCATGGTACATATTGGTGATACAATGTGCATCATGGTACATGTTGGGGGTACGATTATGTATAATGATATTTTGGTGACGATACGATTAATATGATGATACGGTGTATGTCATGGTGGAATGGTCATATGAATTGTACCATGATACATAAATGACAATACCATTAATACTAAAGTACAGTAGTATGTATATACAGCGATACCGTTGTGACGATATTATGTGTATCATGGTACATTGGCAATACGATGTATACCACGATACACAGAGACTAGTGATGATAATGATTAATAACCCCAGTACACCAGTAATGATACGATGTGGACATGGATAAAGTTGTGACGATTATATATGAGTCATGGTACATTAGTGACAATACTATGTACCCATGGTACATTATCTATGATACAATGTGAACAGCGATACAGTAGTGACAATCCAATATGTGCCGCTGTACATTGGTGACGAGTAAGGACAATACGTTAGTGATGATACGACAAGTCCAAAGATACGGAACAGCCATTTTGTACCCACGGTACATTAGTGACAATGTACCACGGTACATTGGTGACAATACGAACAGTGTTACCGCGGTACATTGGTGACAATACAGTGTGTACCGCGGTACAATACAATGTAGTGTACCGCGGTACATTGGCGACAATACAATGTGTACCGCGGTGCATTGGTGGTACAGTGTGTATTATTACCGCGGTGCATTGGTGACAATACAGTGTGTACCGCGGTACATTGGTGATTAATACAGTGTGTACCGCGGTACATTGGTGACAATACAATGTGTACCGCGGTACATTGGTGACGATACTATGAGTACAGCCATACATAACTGGCGTTGTGATGAGTAAAGATAATACGTCAGTGATGGTGCGATATGTCACCAAGATACGTTATATAATTAGTGACAATACAGTGTGTACCGCGGTACATTGGTGACAATACAGTGTGTACCGCGGTACATTAGTGACAATACAATGTGTACCGCGGTACATTGGTGACAATACAATGTGTACCGCGGTACTTTAGTGACGATACTATGAGTACAGCCATACATAACTGGCGTTGTGATGAGTAAAGATAATACGTCAGTGATGGTGCGATATGTCACCAAGATACGTTATATAATTAGTGACAATACAATGTGTACCAAGGTACATTATTGACGATACAATGTGTAACAAAAGACACCGGTAATGACACGTTGTTATTGTGATAGAATGCCATCATATTCAGTGCATGTCCAATGTTCTC